CTCATATTAATGTACTTTGATAAAATCCAAAAGACTTTATTGTAAGAGGTTTTTAAATACAAATATAAAAAAAAGTCTGCTCTTTTTTATTTACTCCAGTGGCTCTTCTTTAATTTAGCAACTGTAGTAAAAGAAAAATGCCTAGGAAAAATGTTGTTCTTTGTTAAATGAGGTTTAGAAATATATTAAGGAAAGTTTATACAAACTGAACATTGTTGTACCAGTCACTGTTCCAGTGCATGCTAACAGAGATGTAGAATAAAAGAAAATATAATGCTGAAATTAATATATAAAAATGATTGCTCTAAGAGATAATGTATCAAATAAAAATCTTTATATGTCAAAGATTTATGTATGTAATCTGATAAAATCATATTATTTTCCTTTTTAAGGTAAACAACTCATTTGTTATACAAAAGGCAGTATGAAGAGTCATTTAATGTATCTGCTTGCCTGTATCTTTAAGGAGCTTATATAGACAGATGCCAATATAAATGCTGCTGGAACACAAAGGGAGAATATTATACAATTACATAAATGACATTAAAAATACACTAGAACTCACAAAATAAAACATATTAGTTCTAAATTGTATGGCTTTAAACCACTTGCTTTTGAACACTTATAAACTTCCCATATAATAATGGACTTTATTGCTCATTTACTGCAAGGTTAGGCAGGCTACTGTGATAGACAGTCAGGTGCTAACTAAATTCATATCCCATCATAAAAGCAAAGGCAATTTGACCTAAACTGTCAATAATATATGATACATAAAAAATGCTCAGAAAATCACTATGTATACGCTACAAGTATTCATTGGAAAATTATCCTTTAACCAAGATCCAAGACACTTACATATGATTATTGTCCCGTTAAATTCCCCAAAACATAAAAAAGTTTATTAATGCAAAACACTACATTAAAAATGCTATCAAATTTCTTCAGTGGTGTATGTACCCCTGTGTGTTGGTGGTGAAGACTGCAAAGAAAAGATGTTTTCTATTAAAGGTTCTGAGAAACTTGAGAAAGCCATCTAAAAACACTATCAGTCTACAGCACACATGCTTTTGAAATTAAATGCAAAGGGGGTGTTCTTAGCATCTTGTTACTTTGAAAAATCCAATTTCCTCTAATATTTTAATTAGGCTACAAATTTAGAATCTCATTAGAAATAAATGGTTGTGCATATATTTAAAATGGGCTTAACTACTCAGAGAAATCATCCATCTTACTTTTTGGCTATGCATTCAAGTTTTAAGCACAAGGAAGAAAGTATTTAATATATTTGAAGGTTTGTACTCAGCAGTACAAAAGCAAATACTTTTTTCTTTACTCTATCTAGAAGCCATACATCTTCTTCCCCAAAGTAACTTTTTCCATCTCTTTGACACGCATTGCTTTTTTAAAATTATTTTTATTTTTAGTATTTTCACTAATTCTTCTTACAATATAAAGGAGAAACAAAGTTCCAATTAGGCACTCATCCTTTTTAATACCTTTGTTGTGGATTATTCCCAAGTAACCAGGCGAATAATCTATCTATTCAAAAGTAGCTTTAGAGACTAGGCTTGCATAATAGCTCCAGATGGTTGGTAGCAGAAGAGTGTAAAGACTTGGCACCACCTCAAAGAGCAAAAGATAGCTGGGAGTAGATATGGATGGATAGTTGGGATTCACAAATAATGAAACTGTAATAAAGGCATTACAGGCCACAAAACCTTAACTCATGCCAGGCTCACGTTAGGGTAAGCATGCTGGGAAGGAAAGAAAGTTCCTAAGACCAAATAACGGTAAATACACTCTGAAAATGTGAAGAAAAAAAATTTCGAAGATCTACTTTTTCTTTGCAGCAAAGAGGATGGGATATGTGACTTATTTTATCATATAAATTTGTCACCCCTATCTCTGAGAAAGAGTGCATTTTGATCACACTCTCTTTCTCTCTCCCTACCAAAAACTGCTAGACTATTGGCTGAGAATCACATTATTCAGACCTGTTTCATATGCAACATGTTTTAGATTTTTCAGATCTGTTTCAAATGCAACAGGCTACCTCCTTTCTTCCACACCTTGAATATCTCATTCATAAGTTTCTGTATCCTCCTTTAATAGTTTGTACAATCCCACCAGAGTTTTTTGGGGGGTCAGGATATTTCACAAGTAAGACATAGTGATTTATTTTTCTTCACCCCCCCAAAAATGGGAATGTTAGTACCTGCTTCAAATGGTTATTAAGAAGACTAAATGAAATAATGATTTTAAAGTGATTAGCACATTGTCTGGCATGCAAGTGTTCAATGACTTAGACATTATCACCAAGACAATTTATATTGACAAATTATTTGACAGAATAATCTCAGAAGGGTTAACACTGAATAAGTACTAAAATTTTATGTTCAGTACCTGGCGTGCATCCAATAAATATGGTTTGAAACTATACATTCCTCTCAAAGGTGAGTTACAGAAGTACATTTTTCAGCAGTGATCAGACATACACAAGTCCACTTCAACCTTCAGCCACCTTCTACCTAAACCCCAGACCTACCTCATTTCCAGACTTCTATATTAAAATCATTCAGGTATGTTGGGAATAAAAATATAAATCTAAAAGGCTCTTTACAGATATAAGGTAATATAACAGTTTCTTTTTGATTTATTTCTCTTATGGAACTCTGTACAGGAACAAATGCAGCAAGTACCTATTTGATTTGTTCTTTAATACAAAAATTTCTATTATAATTTTTGTGTTAAACAGACTTTACCAGCTTTTTAAAAAAATTTTATTGTTATGTTAATCGCCATACATTATTACATCATTAGTTTTAGTTTACCAGCTTTTTTGTGTTATATTTCTATTTTATTCTTTTAAATATACAGAATAAAACCAAGATCATTAAAGGATAAGTATAATTTATTTCAACATAAAGCTTCTTGTACTCTATGTCAAATAAAAAGAATAGAAAATAATTCTGTATATGCATTGTGAAACTCTTTTGTAGCATAACACTACTGCAGCTAAAACCACCTCCTAAGACTTTTTAATCGCTAGTGTACAACCTGACCTACGTGCAGCCAGAGGTGCTGAATGAAGATCTGTACGGAGGACCTGAACAGCATGACTTGGGCAGGGGGGATAGGAACAGGATGGCAGTGAAGAGTTCTGGGGATGTCAGTGGGGCCTCCCATTTACTGAGAGGGCCAAGGGCTCTAGGATTTACGGGGGCTGCAGCAGTGCAGCCTGCTTTGTAGCAGGCTAGTTCTAAGATGCGGTTTAAGAGTATTTTGGCTGTTCCTTTAGCTCTCCCAATGTGTCTGGAATTATGTTACTTAACTCTTCAGTAAATCACCTTTTGCTTTAAGAAGCTGATTTGGACTTTGTTGTCTGAAACTAAGAACCCTGACCAATAACCCAAAAAATAAAGAACATTTCAAAAAAACTCAGTAAACTCCTCTGTCTACATAAGGCTAAAAAATATGCACAACTAAAAACAAACAGTTTTTCAGGTCTTGACTACAGTTTTACATTTGCTCTACTTTGATTCATGTGAAGGACACTGAAAGAAGATTTGAAATAATATTATTTAATAATACTGGTCATACGGCAATTTCTATCTAAGAATTCCCTTATAGATCGATCAACTGTCATTAATCAAGAGGTCTTTTTTAATTCTCAAGGATTACTAACATCAAACACAGAGCAAATCTAAGAGTTAAAACCTTTAGCCTGTAATTTCAATTGACCAAATCATTTCAGTTACTATAAAGGACAACTGGAAAATCTGGGAGAAATCTGGGAGAAATCGGGGAAGAATGAAATTTTGTTTTTATCAGTTAAACAAATATAATGGGTGCCCTGAAATAATAAATCTGGGATCTAGATATTTACCTTTTAAAAACTGTAAAACCAATTTCAATGAAAAGAATTCCTCAAAACATCAAAGCACACTGTTAAACTCACATGGATAGAAAATAATTATTGGATCAAAATGAACGGAAACAGTTTTTAAGAAGCCATAAAATCTTTTGTATGTCTATCTTTTAAAAAATCAGGTTCAAGAGTCAAAGTCAACATGACCATAATCTGTTTCACACAGTTACTGACCATACAGTTTTCAGTAAAATTTTAATTTTTAAGGTATAATTAGTATTTCAAAAACTATACAATTAATTTTTCAAAATAATATAAATATTTATATCACTACCACCTATGTAAATTCATACTTTAAGTAAAGGCCCACATTTTATTAACATTCTGAGTCTCCTGGTAAAAAGTATTGTTATCTTAGTATTAATATACATTTAGAAATTATTTAAGAAAGAAAAAAATTAATATATTTTAATAACCTAGCATTTCTGGCTACTTCGTAGGTGCTTCCACATATATTAATTCATTAACCTGTGTAACTAGTCTACAAGATAGAAATTATTACCATTTTTCTTAAAGCAGTTGTTTAGTCTGAGGTACAGATTACCTAGGTAACTTGAGCACAGTAACAAGCTAGTGAGTGGCAGAACCAAATGTGAATCCATACTAACTTTTCTAATGCCCATTACACCAGGATGCTTCTTTAAAGAAAGGTATATCATCATTTATTATATTTTACACAGGAATATAAAATACTATACCAAATAAACATATTTTACTTCCATCTACATTGAGTGTTAAGAGCTGTTAGGAGGTGTAGGACACGAACTTGTCTATTAAGATAAAGATGAGTGCTTTCAATTAGTTACATGAGAGGCAATAAGGAAGACTCTATATAAAGAAAAATCATGTGCAAATATGGTGTCCTATTACTTTCTCTTCTCAACTAAACCAACTTTTTTGAAGTCTACTGACCTATCAAAACAGATCCGTTCAATAGCCTAACAAAGGCAAAGATAGACTGTCGAGGGCAATAGTCTTTTTCATTTATCACAGTCTGGTAATTAATTCATTAGCCTGCCAATCAACTGCACTGCTAGTGAGATTTGTGAAAGGAGATGAAACAGCTTACCGTGCACATGGATGTCTTTGTAATTTGCAGGGTAAAATTCGAAGAAAATTCCAAAGCTGAGACAGATGTTGTATGGCAATCTATTTGCTACCCATTAAAAAAGAGTGGAAGGAAGAAGTTAGTAAAAATAGTGAAAACAAAACCAAAATCAAACAGATAAATATCCTTTTTTATGCAGTAAACCAATGTTTTGCAAAGTTTAATCATTCAAACCTCACTTCTGGAGTTGTTTTCAAATTTAAAGGCTACTAGCACTATCATTTAGTTAATTTCTGTATAAACCAAATTAGTATTTTTTTACTTAGACTTCTTGTAAGAACACTATATATCAAATCATGGCTCTGATGTGCTAGTTAATGTTTTTCTAAGATACACTAAAACATTTCCAAATAAAATTCTTTTCTTGTTTTCCAACTAAAATCATTTTGTATACTACCAGTGGTACACATTTGCTATAAATTATGCATGGTAAGAGTCAACATTTTTATAGGAAATGCCAACTTGAAAACATAGGCTAATGAAAAGGATAAGGTGTTTTAGGATTCCTTTTTGTAATTGCATTTGAAGAAAAGTTTGTTAGATATTAGGAAAAACTGTAAAGGATAAAATCAAAGAGCCAAACCAAGGAAGAAGATTTAACTCAGGAAAACAATGGCCAAAGAGCCTTATTTTCCTTTCTGCCTTGGTTCAAGTCCTTCTTCACTTCACTATGGAGAGCAGATGGGGACAGACCATGGCAGTGGGACGAGAGGGAGGCCATGAAGGCCTGACTTGCCATGCGTAGATTATGACATAGCATACACAATTCACAGGACTATATACCTGAGCCACTACCCTCTTTTAAATAGCTTGAGAAAATTTTAAAGAAGTTATAGTGTGGTTGCCTTCTATTTGTAGAGGATTGTGGAACGTGGAACAAAATATATTTACCTAAACAAACAAGTAAATAAACATTGATTAATGTTTAAAAAAAAGAGAAAGGGTATGTGTACTTTTTAAACACCTTTGTTATCAGTCTAAAATTTTCTATTTCAACTATTTCTTCATAGCAGTTTTTGGCATTAAACAAAGAGCACTAGAGAGAAAAATTAGCCCCTTCCCCCACTACCCTCCTCTTTTTGCATAGCCTTGAGGCTGAGTTGACTGAACTGTACACTCCTACCCATAATCAAAGAATACAAATAAATCTCTTACTATCAGTGTACCAGAGCCCTCAACAGTACTATAATCATTAACCAGGCTATAATTTTTTCTTAGAAGCTAAATGCAATTTTAATCAGCTTGCTCTTGTTTTTTTTTTTTTTTTTAGATTTTTTTTATTTATTTGAGAGAGAGAATGAGATAGAGAGCATGAGAGGGAGGAGGGTCAGAGGGAGAAGCAGACTCGCTGCCGAGCAGGGAGCCCGATGCGGGACTCGATCCAGGGACTCCAGGATCATGACCTGAGCCGAAGGCAGTCGCTTAACCAACTGAGCCACCCAGGCGCCCTCAGCTTGCTCTTGTTGAGAAACTTTTTAAGTTTATTATTCTATGCCAACTTTAAATATTTTTTATCTATTAAGAAAATTAACAAATATTTACTGAATATCCATTTTATGCGGGGAACAATTATTGATGCTATGAAAGTATGACTACAAAAAGCAGACAGTGTTCTGAACCTAAAACTGAACAAACTAAATTTATCTAATTAAAACAGACAAATTAAGGACTTTTTAAGAAAAGCAATGACTTTTCACTGCAAAGTTATTATTTAACCTATGTAAATATGACACAGCAAAATTCACAATAAAACTAGAGATTGGCATGGTGAACAGTAAGATTTTATTTATTTTTTTAATATTTTAAAAAGATTTTATTTATTTATTTGACAGAGAGAGAGACACAGCGAGAGAGGGAACATAAGCAGGGGGAGTGGGGGAGGGAGAAGCAGGCTTCCCGTGCAGCAGGGAGCCTGATGCAGGGCTCGATCCCAGAACCCTGGGATCAAGAGCTGAGCCAAGGCAGATGCTTAAAAACTGAGCCACCCAGGCACCCCAACAATAAGATTTTAAAACACAAAAGGAATTAACTGAGAAATCTGAACAGAGTAGGGCTTTAGTTTCATAGGCAAATTCACTGTAATTACTTAATTTGAAAAGGTGGAAGAAATTTGAATGTGAGATGTTAAACTGTGTAGAATATATGATATGAATGAATAATCTGGCTGTAAATGAGAAACTAGAACAAGGCCAGGGAGGTGGTGATGAAGCAGAAATGATAATACAGCAGGACTTTTCGCCTTCAAGCCCCTCAGTATAAGGAACTGCGATATACAGAGAAGTGATTCCAAAGGATGATATAGTCAACTGGTAAATACTGTAACCTCAAGGTACATTAGCCTGGTTAATATAGGAAGAATAATCACTGTTTTGAAAGCCCATATATAATATGTTAATTTCAAATACTGAACTCATAAATGAAAACTAATAAAAATGGCAATTCTGTTAAAATAAAACTGGTAAAAACACCTACCTTAATACTACAAGCATCTGAAATAAGAGTCTTCGGATCTAAAACTTCCACAACAGCTTCTGGAATAACTGCTTTCTTCATACAGGACATGTTGAAGCCATAAACATTATCCCAAAAAGCAATTCTATCAGCATGTTTATTCATATCACTTACTGCCACAAGGCTGATAGTGCAAATATCAGGGTAGACTGTAACAGATAAAATACCCAACAATTTATCATTATCTCCGTTTGTGGCAAAATATACTTTTTTAAAGGCTAAATATAAATCCCCAAATCATCAGTATGAATTACTAGCAATTGATTACTAGTAGTGGGGGATTAACGGAGGTATAGGTCAGGGAAAATAACCAAGTCCTATCTTTAAAAAAAAGATTTCCATTACAGTGATGGCAAGATTAAAATAAGGATTTCAATGATGGGTTATTAAAATAATTAAAGCAAGAGAGCATAATTGAATAAACCGGAAATGAACGTATTTGTTAAACTTACAATATGCTAACTTTAAAAAGATACTAAATCTTTACACATTACTCTGAAACATGTAGAAAGAGACAAATCATTTAAAAAAGGGCAATTATTGGTGATGTAATAAATACTAAGAAAGGGGAGGTCTAAGGTACTGAGGGAGCTCACAGCAAAAATAGCTAATTCAGATTTGGCTATAGCAGGGGTGCAGGTATTTTTTTTTTTTTTTTAAGATTTTATTTATTTATTTGACAGAGAGAGACACAGCGAAGAGAGGGAACACAAGCAGGGGGAGTGGGAGAGGGAGAAGCAGGCCTCCCGCGGAGCAGGGAGCCCAATGCGGGGCCAGATCCCAGGACTCCGGGATCATGACCTGAGCTGAAGGCAGACGCTTAATGACTGAGCCACCCAGGTGCCCCAGGGGTGCGGGTATTATATAAGAACTGAAAGCCACATAAATTAGGAGTGGGGAGGGAGTTTCTAGGCAGAGTGAGCAGTGTGCGTATGGGGTCACAATTAATATACACTCCAATTTAAGAGAGTGAGATATAAGACTATAAAGGTAAGCAGGGAGCAAAGAAAACATGGCTGGATAAACCATGCTAGTAAACTGGATTTTATTCTAAGAATAATGACAAGCCTGTGAACAATTTTACATAGGGTCACAACCTGATCAGATTTTGGTTTTGGAAAAGCCAGATGGAGTACAATGTGGAGAATGAATGGGAAGATGCAAGATTAAGACAAAGACTAAACAAGAGATACTTGTAATAACCCAGGTGATTTGCAGTAGAGCAATGGCTGTGGGAATGGAAGGGGGAGATATAAACAGCTGACCCTTGAACAACACGGGTCCATTTACATATGGATTTTTTTTAAAAAATAAATACAGTACAGTACTGTAAATGTATTTTCCCTTATGATTTTATTAATAACATTTTTTCTCTAGCTTACTTTATTGTAAGAATACAGTATATAATACATATAACATACAAAACGTGTTAATCAACTGTTTATGTTATTGGTAAGGCTCCCAGTCAACAGTAGGCTATTAGTAGTTAAGTTTGGGGGGGGGGGTGGTTAAAAGTTATAGATTTTTGACCACATAGGGGGTGGGGCAGGTGATGACCCTAACTCCCACATTGTTCAAGGGATAGTTAGGAGGAAGAACTCACAGGATTGGCTGGCTGTGGAGGTAATGAAGAGGGAAGAGTCATGGACAAGTTTTTAGCTTCCGCAGTGGGGCAGATCTTGGTATTAACCCTTACATTAGAGAATAAATAAGGGCAGAGTCAAGAGGAACAAAAGAGTTCAGTGCTTATGGGACAAATGGGTAAAAATATCCAATAAGCAGCTGAATAAACAGGACTGAAATTTAAGAGATGATCTGGGTTCAAGATATAAATTTGGGATGATGATCATATGAATGGAAATGTAAGTTACGGGAGCTCATGAGTTCATCTAGGGAGAGTACATAATGAGTACCAGAATTTAAGGGATGTGCAGAAGGGAAGGAGGTTGATAATAAATGGCTGAGAAGCTGGGGCCACCAAAACAAGAAGAAAACCAGGAGAGTAAGTATTAAGAGAGGTGACAGAAGAGAGTGATTCAGGAAGAAACTATTCTAATAACAAGGGTAAAAAGTCTGTATAGCACCAAATTAAAAAAAAAAATAATATTGGGGGTGCCTGGGTGGCTCAGTTGGTTAAGCGTCTGCCTTCGGCTCAGGTCATGAACAAGGGATCCTGGGATCTAGCCCCACATCAGGTTCCCTGCTTATCGGGGAGCCTGCTTCTCTCTCTCCCTCTGCCCTTCCCCCCTCCACTTGTGTTCTCTCTCTCTCACTGTGCACTCTCTCTCAAATAAATAAATTAAAAAAATATTTTTCTCTGACAAATAAATAACAAAATTAACTCTGTCCTTCAAATAAAATTCAGGGGATTCATGAATTAAAGTAGAAATCACATTTTCTTATATCAATAAACTGAAAACAAGTACATATGTACCAAAGAAATGCACAAAAGAAATAATTCCATGATTAACTAGTCTTTAAACAGCAGAGAAGTGAGCCTCCCCTTCTGCCAAACTTTGTTTCTATCCACAGCCTTAGGAATTTATTATTCAATGACAGCAGCACTAACTTATCTTCCTAATAAAGCCCATGATAAGATCTGTTGGCATTAAAGCAATTGCTCCTTTCAAGCCTGACGTGTGAGATACCCAGAAAAACTACTTGGTGCTATGCCACTGATAAGAAGTTTCTCAAGTCCTCCCTAAGGGGGCATGTGAGGCAGATGTGATAGCTGCACTGGGCTAGAGTACTGGGTACGGGGCTACCATGGACCGTTGAGTTACTTCTACAGTTCTCCTCTTCCACATACACACGGTAAGTCTCTTGACTGTGTTTAAATTCCTGACTAATACAAATTCTTCAAGGTATCTGATTTGTTGCTGACTATGCTGAACCAGCAGAGCATAAGCTACAGGAAAGCATGTTTAGTTTCTTGAACCAGATCCTTAGATGAGAAACACTGAAGCAGAAACAGAATTCTAAAGTAACTTTAGATATTTGGCAACTTCTTTATATATCTTTTGTTGGACTTAGTAAGGCAATCATACAAGTGTCCCACATTTTGCCCTGTAACTCCATCCTTAAAAAGGAATATAGTTAGGGTACAGATCAGGGATCAGCAAACATTTTCTGTAAAGTAACTATTTCTGGTTTTGTGGGCCATATGGTCTTTGTTGAAACTATTTATCTTTGCTGCTAGAATTGTGAAACCAGCCACAGACAATATGTAAATAAATGAGCTTGGCTATGTTCCAAGAAAACTTTATCTACAAAAACAGGCAGCAAGCCAGATACAGATACCCCTGATATAGATGTGGGAGAAATGGATGAGGGAGGTCATTATCAGAGCCACCATATTGTACTACTTCGGGGAGTGCCATTCACACCATAGTCTATGGGAAACTGAATATCCTTCTGAGTCTTGTAGTGCACAGACATTCAAGTTACTTAACACGGCTCAGAGTTCTTTTATTTCAGATATTATTAAAAATCTTAGTGAAAAATTTAAAATATCATTAGTCCCTATATCAGGGGCTGGCAAACAATGGCCCATGGTTCAGATTCAGCCCCCTGCTATTTCTGTGAACAGTTTAACTGGAACATTGCTACCCTCATTTATTTACTTATGGTCTATGGCTGCACTGTGTTCTAGAGGCAAAGCTTAGTAGTTGGAACAGAGACGGGAGGGCTTACAAAGCTGAAAATATTTGTTGTCTGGTTTTTGTAGAAAAAGTTTGCTGACTTCTGGCTCTGTATCAAGCACTATGACATACTAGTAATATTACCAAGAAATAAGGATAACTTTTTCACAAGGAAAAACTATAATTTACTAAAATAAATTTAAAAAACTTTAAAAACATTTTGGTAAGAAGAAACAAACAGAGAAATATGACTTTACTTTTTCTAGTGTTGAGGTATATTTTTCAAGGTAATTATATTTCACAAAGATACAGAAAATTATGGTTTCTTTATTTGCTAGCATTTAGAAATGAAATTATTTTTTATCTTTGTTAGTAAGACGTATGAATATTCATAAAGGACCTGTAATCAGTGTTACAGGTCAGTTTAGTTCCATATCCACTTCCTCACAGCTGGCTAAGATTTTGGGCCACCTGCCAGAATCTTGACTAACCCTTTACCTTCACATTCTGACACATTTGTCATTTGATTTTTGTCAGATAGAAGCATAATTGAATAATTATACCTTCTTGTAGGTGAAATTAACAAAGCGCTGATTGGACAAAGCACCCTCTTAACAGACCATTTATAAATTCATGGCTTTGACATCTGTGTCCTTCTCGATTCATTGCCCAGAATTCATTTGTCACTAGAACAGCTCATATGGTGAATAAAGATGGGAAATCCTTTATCCCTTAGAAATGCCTCACAAACTTTGGGACACTAAAGGGTAAAACTGAGATGCATAAAGAAACAATTTCTAGTAAGTACTGGCATCACTGCATGTATATAAATAACCAGAGAGTAAAAAGGTTTAGAACAAAAGGAGATAATAAGTCAAAATAAACTATTCTTTTCACAATACACGTTAACAATATGGAGGAAAGATTTTAGTAAACTAACAGTCAATGACAAAATGATTGATATGTATAAAGGGAAGTATACTACTAAGCTATTAAATCAGCAAAAATTCTGAAGTTGAATAAGCTTAAAAATCAATTTCCAATTTATTTATTTAAGATTTTATTTATTTATTTGACAGAGAGAGACACAGCGAGAGAGGGAACACAAGCAGGGGAAGTGGGAGAGGGAGAAGCAGGCTTCCCGCAGAGCAGGGAGCCCGACGCGGGGCTCGAGCCCAGGACCCCAGGATCATGACCTGAGCCGAAGGCAGACGCTTAACGACTGAGCCACCCAGGTGCCCCTCAATTTCCAATTTATATAATAAGGATATCTTAAAAAATTAATTCTTATTTGGAAATTGGAAACATTTTCCCACCATTAACTTATAAATAGTGACTAGGCCCAGCTTAGCTAGCTGCAATATACACTGAAAAATTATGTATTGAAAAACAGTAGAAAATGATACTACTGCAACATCACTGAACAAAACAAAAATAACAAATGTGAAAAACACAGATGTGAAGACAAGAAAGTAGACAGTGAATTATGGAAATACTAAAGGAAATCT